AATTTGTGACCCCAGGTCGGGGTCACTGATAATGTTAGTCTTAATATCACATAAAAAAGCAACATTCAAGTTAAGAATCAATGAAAATTGGAAACCATAGGAGATTAGTTCTATCTATAATAACTACATCGAATGTAAGCTCTAGTGACAACTGACAAATTAACAGTTACTGATTCAAAAAAATTACAATCTCAGAGACTTACTGTAGTGAGAGAATTTCTTAATAGAGTAAATTCTAAGGGAAAGATTTATCTCACATTTCAACATTTTGGATGTCATATGACCCATGTATAATAAAGTCTTAACGTTACGAATTACAATGTTTAAGTAAAACGTAAACTAGTAGTACGAGAAGGTACAGTTTTACGATCATTTATCAGGAGGGTTTTCTCCCCACAAGGAGGTATTCACAAAAGCATTACATAAGTTCCTTAAAACTAGCATATAAGAGAAAAGTATATAGAAGCCACTGATGCAAAAGAACAAGAATGATAGAGAGAAAGAAATGACAACGAAACATTACCACACCTTTAAGTAGCCATTGTGCAACGACTTCAAGCAGTAAAGACATGATGACCGAAAAAAGGATAAAAACCTGCAAGAAAGTACTTCAGCTGATTGTTCTCACTAAAACAACTCATAATCACTTTGCTGAAACTTAAGTCAAAAAATGTACTACGTAGTACGCCGTTTTTCTACATTCTACATTTCATTCTTGCACAACATGTTACTTTCTCCAACAATACAACTTATAATTTGGCATATTAACTTCATACGGGAACAGACAAAAGAAATTGTGCTGGAACAAGAACTCACAGTGTGTTTATTAGAACCTATTTGCCTCTCAAACACACGAAAGTAGTACAGCAGATAAACTCCGAAAATCAGTTCTGGTGTAGATGAAAAGCCAAAAACTGAAACTATGAGCTTCCATATTTGAAATTTCTTGAAAATATCCTGCCATCAGTAAAGATTCAAGTAAGGATGCAATTAATCATAGAAACATGCTGCACCATATCGACTTTGTAAATCATCAAACTTATATACCACGAGCTGGTAGCTCAAGTGGTACCTATTGTTGGACTAGTTGATACAGAGTTCGATCTCTGTAACTTGCAGTTTCTTAAGAATTTCCCCTCCCTGCCAGTCCACCTGTAGCTACTAAAAAAATCACTAAATTTATATAAAAAAAAGCATTAATAGTGAGGGCATGTTCTTCTCCTTCGTTCCTCTATGACTACAAGAGAAGAGTGTACGTAAGGAAGACAAGCGGAAAAAAATAAAGGCACACACTCGTGCAGACAATGACTAGGGAAGAACCCACCATTTGGTTAAGTACATGGGTACATATGGGAACAGCCCGAAAGAAATTACAAAACAAAGACCTCTGCTCTGATATTAGAGTTGAGCTGGAGGCTTAAGGGCTAAAAGGATGCGTCTGGTGCTAAAATATGATTCTTCATATCAAAGTGAAATTGAGCTTTCGTAAGAGCGTCCCACACAATCACATTCAAATACATCAAGACTATTATGGTAACCTACCAGAAAAAATATGAGTAATTCAGAGATAGCACTACCTAAAAGATACATTTCTTGTCATTATAACAACTCTTGTGCACAAAGAACTTCACTACTGAGATTAGATCATAAACAACAAGTACTTCGACTGTCTACCCCACTTTATTTCGGCGAACTTCAAGTCTTCAACACTCAACAAGCATAATCAAAATCAAAACAGAAAATTTCCGAACTTTACATAATTGATTCGCAATAATGCCTCTCACACCCTAAAATAAAAGGAAAGATAAAAAAAAGGTACCTGATAAGACCAATTGAAACTCCTGGAGCGACCTTGGATCCCAAATACCACTGTGAAAAGAATACTGGCGATCACAACTACCCTCGTCACCGGCACATTATCTGTAAAACGACAACAATTTTTCAAAAACCTCAAATTCTCCATAACCATAACACAGCTTTTCAAACTTAGAAATCGGAGCTTACTGAAACCAGATGGGCCGCCGTTCATCTTCCAGGCGAACCAACCACTTCGCCTGTGGCTTGTATCGATGTATAATTTTGTGTGTATATGAATGAATCGATTGTATCCGATATATATTTGTATTTTCTCTCTCTAATTCGCCTCGCTCACTCTCTCTCTCTCTCTCTTCTGCAGCTCCTTTTGGGCTTTGCTCTATCGAGTCGTCGCGAGCAGAATTCTCTCATCTGAGAGCCCTCTTCTCTTGCCCTAGGAGTTCCATTCCTTCGATTGCAGGTATCTCTTCCCCTCTTTTTGAGGGGCTGATTGCTTATTTGTTTTCTCATAGCAATATATCTCTTATATTAGCCTCTTGCCTTCCTCTTCTCTCCCCCTCTGCTGTGTTTTTTTTGCAGTATTTGGTTTCTCCGAGGTCCGCTTAGCTACCGACTCCGTCCCTCATGGCGGATGAACTCTCCGCTAAGCTTGAATCCTGTCAACTCTCTGAACAGG